ACAGAAAATAAATATAAATTTGATTTTCTTTTTTTCTTCAACATTATTACTGTTACTTTGACAAACATTTAGTAAGAGAAAGTTTCAAAGTATTTTCCATTTCGCAAAACTAAACAAAATATTTAAATCTGGTCTGTTACCTGTTTTTAGATGGTGCATTCTGTCCGCATGTAGTTTGAATTTGAGTCCAACCCTATATTAGACCATCACGACGCTTCAAACATGTATTTATTTATAGGAGCTCTTTTGAATTTTTTTCCAAATTCATCTCAGAAAATAACTGATGTAATGACTGGCACAATTCTCCCAACTGCGCGGTAATTAGATGAATTTTTTTCCTACATTCCAAATGTAAATCTTTCCGATTTTGATGAGAAATTATACAGTCAGCGGCAGAACTAAATTTAGATATTTAAAGCTATCTCTGATGACTTCGTTGTATGAAGTAAAGAATGCATTGTAATCGTGAAAACTTTCCGGTATCAGATTTCAAAGAAAAATTCCATTTTTACTGCTCTGGAACCAATTTTTTACTTTCACTTATTACGTACTTTGCCCTCAGGCACTACACGGAAAGGGAGGGATGCCCCGTAAAGGTTCTTTAGAGAAAACCAACTCGTATCCACGGTACACATGGTGAAAAAAAACGGAAACGACTATGCAGCCAGCCTTTCGCCGAGGCTCGAAAGACGGACCGAACTGCCAATGTTCAATGGCTTTTACCGCTCGACCTCTGATGGGTGGAAAAATAAGAATACAGGGGCAAGTGCATTTAGCATTGAGTAAATGGGTATCTCGGTAATTTAGAGAGATATGGCCAAGTTGGCACAGTTTTGTCGACTTATTTTCCCGCCAAATTTGGATCGCCAAAATTTCCAAATTGGGCGACATTTTCGTCCGGGTCCTGTATTATCATAATATGTATTGAAATTGAGTAAATGTAATTGACCACTATGTTAACTGCAACCGTAATTCCACCTTCGTATTGCTTTCCGCTTATTTCGAGAAGCGCCACACTAGCGAGACCAGTTTGACTGTGAGCCAGGTTTGGTTTGGTTTATTTAAATGACTTTCTAAGGGAAACAGGCTCGTATACACATTGCACATGGGACAAACCACGAAAACGCCCATGCAGCCATTCCGTTCACGGGATTCGAACCTCGGGATCCGAACTATTATTGTTCAGCGACTATACCGCTCGGCCACAGACGAGCTCTGAGGCCCAAGATGGGTCAGTTTAATTAAAGTGTTGTGGGTGAAAAGCGCAGGTGTTTTTTCCTCTCCTAGTCAGGGGTAATTTATTGCTTTTTCTTTACAATCGTTGAGCATCGCTGTTACTGATTTTCTTTGACTTTCAAATCTTCATTTTTACGATGAGTTCTAGTGTGAGCATTGCTCTCAGAAAGCTCTAGAAAAGAAACCTTTCCACAGCGATTTTAAGCAGTTAGTGTATAACGTGATTAAAGTTTGTGATGAAGAATTACAATTAGGAAGACTGAGCATCCCAGTTACACAGCCAACACGTAAGGCGAGTAAGATGACTAGCGTTTCTATTGCCAGCATAAACAGAATTCGTAAAGATTCTGAAAGTAAAGAAAATGTTGAATTCTCTTCCCCTAAAAAAAGAAAAAAGAGAGAAACTGTTGTAACCACAAGCTTAGATAATTTTGATTTGGATATTTTAAGACGAGTAGTTCAAGACGTTTATGTCAAGGAAAAGCAAGTGCCAACTATAGCCAAACTGCTTCTTGTATTAAAAGACACAATCAGTTGTCCTTATCAAAGAGAAACGCTAAGAAAGATTCTCCGAGTAATTGGTTTCATCTGGTAAAAGACCCAGAATACAAGAAGCGTTTTACCAGAAAGACCTGACATTGGTTTCTCAAGAACAATGTATTTGAGGACTACTAAACTTTATAGAGAAGAATACCGTCTTCTAATTTACATAGATGGAACATGGGTGGGCAGCAGTTTAACGTTTGAAAAATGCTGGAAACCAAATGAAGTCAATGGGATTTTAGAAACAGGGAATGCCTCTCGCCGCATAATAATTTTATGTGCTGGTGGTGCAGCTCAATATAGCTCCCAATTCCTCCCCCCAAAAAAGGAAGATATAATGCAGTGGCTGACCAAAAACAACATTTCTTTTTGTCCGAGTTTGCGAAAAGTGGAGCTGCTGGATTTAGTAAAACAAAATGCTAGCAAAGTCAAAACTTTTAAATTTCATTGTATAATCGAAGAAGAAGTTCTGCGATATAGTTCTACGACTCCCACCACATCACTGTGATATAATCGCCATAGAGTATGTATGGGCTGGAGTAAAAAATTACGTTCGAAGTCAAAACACGACTGCCGACATAAGCATGTCGAATTTATTACATTTCACAAACGAGGCTATTGAAGGTGTTTCGGTGAACAATTGGAAGAATGAATTTAGAAACTGAATATTGGAGAAAAGGTGGTATAATAATATTGGAGAAAAGATGGTATAATGAAAGAATTGTCTGAAGCATTAAATTTTACATTCTGAATTCTCTACGAGTTTGGAGGACCATTAATGCTGCGCCACTAAAATAAATGTAAAGGGGGGAAAAGGTATGGCATGCCTTATTAAAACTAAAATAATTTTTATGCAAACACTTCTCATTAAATAACATTGTTTTATTTATAAATCATTTGATTATAATAAGAAATGTAATTTATTAAAGAATTATAAGGTATTTCTCTCGCATTCTCAGCGTGCCTTTGTAGTGTAGTGGTCTGCACGCTCGGTGGGTCTTCGAGAGGTCCGTGGTTCGATTTTCGGCGTGAGCATTCCTCATTTTTCATCTCTCGGCTTCGAAATAGCCTAATGTCTCTACACTGGCGCCGAACCGGCCGTGGTGGATGATGATTGGCTTCCCCCCAGGATTTGGGCGATTGGGTCCCCTAATCCCCAGTCACCCTTTAAAAGGGGAAATATATAAGGTATTTCTCCCACTTTCGTACCATGTCTTCGTAGTGTGGTGGTCAGCACGCTGGGCGCATATTCGAGCGGTCTGTGGTTCGAGGCCTGGCTTAAGGCGTTGCTCATTTTTCATCTCTCCTGCTTCGAAAATACTTCATGACTTTACAATGGTGCCCGAACTAAAAGGTGGTGAATGACGATTCTCCACCCCCAGTATTTGGCGATTGGCTTCCCTAGTCTCCAGTCGCCTTTTAAAAGCGGGAGTATATAAGGTATTTCCTCCGCCTTCTTAGCAAAAGTAGTGAATTGAAAGGTATTAAGCTCTCAAAATAATAAGAAAGGTTTCTGCATGAGTACATGAAACAATGAATATTGTTCTAAAATTATGGATGAAAGTTGAGATTTCATTCTATATATTATGAATCTATCAACGTAGCTTAATGAGAATCGAGATTCTAAACTGAACATTGTTAAAACTGAAGTGCTTAAAAACATATATTCAGATATAACGGGTATTAAGAATTAAAAGGAAATAAGCACGCTATTTTCGATATTGCATTACATCAGTTTTATGACGATGGAGCACAGTTCTACTTCTCGAATCAAATTTAATATTTATGAATACTTTTGATGTTTGAGCCTGTACCTATCAGCAATTTTGAATAGTCACGTGAGCCTCTAAAATCATGAGAAAAGGCTTTCTTTCCTCTCTTTCCTTTTTTGTCAGCCCAAAATGGATATTACTCTCCAAACGTGCTTTTTCATTTGAGTCTGTTACCGTTCTTCAAAATGTAAGATACATTTTTTTTCAAACATAATTTGTCTTTAATGGATTAAAAAACTAAGTTGTTAAAAAGGCAATAGTTGTAATTATCGAGAATATTATTATGGTTTTAGTTTTCAGTGTATATTTTATTGAGATAAAAATGCAATACATTCATGATATATCTAATTATAAATATTTAATATTTTTAATATGACGACGTTAAATATTTTTCGCTTTTTCAAACAGACAGAAGAGAGAACTTTTCCATGTTAGTCTAAATGTGTATTCAACTGAAAACCTATAAAATGTTTCGTTATTCCATCTGAGCCACCTCTACAAATAATCCAACTTCTAAACCACATGTTAAAATAGCCCTTCTAAGCGCGATCTATAAAATCTGGAAACTTTCATTTTTTTTGGGGGGGGAGGGTTTAACCAGTTTTCTTAGCAGCAGTATTATAGAGTTACTTAAACCTTAACAGCGCCAAAAGGTATGAATATGCTGTACCCTATGGTAAGGGTTACAGCCTGACTACTTCCATCATATCAAACTTAATTAGCTTTAATTTGGATAGTTATGATTACAACAGAATATTAAAAATTATCATACTTATTATTCAATGTTGAGTTTGTTAAACATTTCGTGAATTGTACGGATTAAACAGTATTTGCCACTGAATGCAAAATTCTATACCGTACCAGCACGTGATAGTATCTAAACATACAGCAAGCGTTAACAAGAAACATGCTTCTGACGTTCTCGTAGAAAGTTTTAATCACGTGCATTTGTCGCAGTTCACTAATGCATATTAGCATATCATGTACTAATGTTTGTGGCATTCTTATATAAACTATATTTGGTGGTCTTCAATTTCTGGGCAAATTAATCATTGTGCCCGGGTAAACTCGACTGTTCTTGTTTATTCATAGATCAAAAATGGTTTTAAAATCTTGCCATGCAACATCTAGAAAAGGACATTCACTTTCGGGTTATCCCGCTTTAACTCCTTTGTGACATGGTGAGTTTTGGATCCCGAAATTGTCAATTTATATGTATATTAAACTCAAACAAATTGTTGGGGAAATAACTTTGATATGCGTGTATTAACGCTACATAAAAATTTTCAGCTCTTCTTTTACAAGTTAGCCACAGTAATAGGGTAAAATTATTCACAAACTTTAATTTGAAGCTGATATTTCCCATCATTATTATCCTGGTTCTTACTGCGCATGACAATTTGCTATTACATAAGCCACGCAATTTATGATTAAACATGAAACAACACGTTTTGTAATATTTTGATTTATTGAAAAATTTATCTACATAAATGTTGAGCAAACGTATAAATTACAAAGGCATTTAATTTTCATAATAATAAAAATGCACTTCAGGTTATGAAATAAATAAGTATAAAAGCTTTCTTAGATCTTAGAGCTAAAATCAACTAGGAAACTGCCTGTGGTAATTATTGGTTCATGTTTCTTATGATCATTAAAGAAATGAAGTCAGATTTTATCTGCGTTCGTTGTAAATATTTTTTTTAAACATGCGTGCTCTTCTACGTCTTTGAAGATATCACTTCCGATACTCACGTGTTCGAAATAATTCGAAATGAATGTGATTCAGAACGTTTCTTCACTTGTCGTAATTTACGAGCTCTGAAATGTTGCAAAAGTATTTCAAACAGTCCGGATTCTTGATGTTGTTGACTTGAGGAACTTCATTCGTAGCAACAATCTGCCGAACAACTCGTTCCATTCTCTTGTTGTTCAAGTTGTACTGAAAAAATATTAATAATGTAATTTTAGTTATTTCATATACACTATTCGTCATATTGCTTCACTCATAAGTAAAACGAAATATATTTTTAAATTTGCCAAGTAGCATTTGATACTGTTAAATATAGCTTAATCTTTTAAGAGATCCATATTCCCAGTAATTTTAATTCCTTTAATGAATACTCCGAACTCCGATTAATTTAATACTCCATTGATTTTAATCAAAATCAATGAAAGATAAGTCATTGCATAAATAATATGAATGCAATGTGAGAATCTGTGTGTCACTTTTGAATTTTGTTTTCGTAATGATTCACTAATATTCCTTATATCAGTTCTTGTACAACGGAATGTTTACATCATGCATTAAATTACACATATGTTTGCGAATCACTTTAGCATACGATTTTACTTACAGGTATATCCGGAGCCTCTAGAATGACTTTTGGGACGCAGTCGATCCACAATTCCCTTTCTATGGTCTTTGAGATCTTTTCCTTGAGCTCTGGTGTAAATTTGCTGCCCTCTTTTAGCTTGACGAACAGGACAGCTCTTGAGTCACCATCACTTCTACTCTGATTCACACATATGTAATCAAGAATCTCTTCCATCTCATGAACTAAAAGTAAGAAAAAAACGTAAACGACTTTTTTGAAAAGCTGAAAATTTTACAGGAAACGCCTTTCATGACAGTTTTGCATGCAGACAAAATGTTAATAATCAAAGTATTAAAAATAAGGATTAATAACAGATTATATTAAGCTTCGGATTATGGAAACTTGAAAAAATACTACAAACAATATGCATTATAGTGAAGAGATACAGGATTTAGCGTTTGCTGTCCCACTTTCATGCCACATCAGGTTTAGGAATTGCTGTCTTTGTGAATTTGAAGCTGATAAATGAAACTGCTGTGAACGGCTCAGAAGCCAAACATTTTAGTGCAAAGGCAAAGGCTTTCTCCGGCTTTCTGCTACAGATATTTGGATCTCTTTCGTGTTCCAATCGCTGATCATTCACCGATACATTTTGGAACGTTTCAGCCTGCGCTGCCAATATTATGCGATCAACGATATTTCCAAAAAGAATAATATTAATGTTTTGAAATCTTAAAAGATTAACTATTTTTGGTAAATTCCTCCCTTTGATGTAAAATTCGAATTTTTCATTTAGAATAAATAATAAATAGACTAAACCTGGATAATATACATAATTTTGTGTTATATATAACAATAAATATTATGTGCACTGAACGGAAAAAAAAATGGGACACTTCTCTATCTCCCCTTCTACTGGGCCGATTGACGAAATTGAAATTGCGTTTTTCATGTCTTATACTTATAAAGCGCAACTTAGGATATATATTCTATTTATAGATAGAATTAATCCAACATAGTTTTTTTGACACAAAATCGGACTTTTTCTGAAACAACACACAAATTTTGTTTCCCTATTTTGATTCTACCACTCAAATTATGCCTAGATATTAAATTTTGTAATTCTGGGTGAGAACTTTACGGAGAAATTCAAAAATTTATCTTGGCGAATTTTTTTTCAGTTTTCGCTAAGAATAAATCACTTGCGAACTTCTTAATTTATAGCAACCTATTTTCTTTTGCTTTCTTTCATTGTCAACGAGCGGGAAAATGTCATCGTTCATAATTTCAAATAATTTTTACAAAGTGTGTAAATTATATTTGGCGTTATTATTGTTGTTATAACGCCAAATAGCAATAATAATAATAAGCAATAATAACGCCAAATTTCAAAGTATGGCAAATTTCAAAACGCCCCAGTATGTAAATTCCCGTAAACATTAGGAAATTTTGAATAAAAAGCTCTAGTTTTTGCAGGTATACTTTAAAAATCATCTTCTTTAAGATGATGGTAAAAATTTATACAGGTTATATAGGTTATTTTATAGGTTTTTTCGAAAATCTATAAAAAATATTTAAAAATTACATATATTAAAATGTAAATTTTAAAAAAATGAGCAATTTTTATTTGGAATGAACCTAAAGTTCTAAATGTGAGAGGAAGAATCACATAAATTTAATAAAATAGGAGATATTAAAAAAGATATATCAAATTCAATTAACACTGAGGAGCTAAAATTTTGAAACTGATTTTCAAAAGCTGTTCAAGCGATTTCTACAAAACTTGGCAGATTGGCATAATTTTAAGTCGTAGAATTGAAATATGAAAAAAAAATGGCATGTCAATTCAGTAAAAGTCCAACTTTGTATCAAAATACCTCTATTAGAATAATGCTGTATCTAAATCAAGTACATATCCTAAGTCACGCTTTCGAGTCATGAAAATCGCAATTCGCACAGTAGAACGGAAGACACAGAACTTAGTGTAGTTTGCTTAGCGTACGTTTCAAACAAGAAATATGTGCGAGTTAGGGAAAATCAAATGTAAGTGAAATTTGCGAAGAAATGGCTTCAGTTCTTTAAAACATTACGTGAACATGGATAAAAACTTCTGAGTCTTGCCCGGTTGGAAAACGTACTTTCTGCTTCTGACTTCTTGTTTCTTAATCACATCTTTAATTTATCCTTTAGATTTTCTTCGCGTAATTGTTCTTTCTGTCCTGTATTGTAAGTGCTTTTGTTTGGTAACACAAATGTATTTCATTTGTTAAGCATATATGGTATTAGTTGCTCTCCTCCTAGTGAGAATGATTTCGTTTTAAGTGAGTTAGATGATGAAAAGTGTACTTTTATTAGAAAATATTCATTTTTTTCATTTCATAGTTACGAGAAGTAATTATGTAAAACTTCTAAATGCAAATGCTACCAAAGAGGAATCAATGTAATTTCGGTAATGTGTATCTGGACTTCATTTATAAAGTATGAAAATACCATAAAGTGTTCCTGCAAGACTAGATTATTTTTATTAAAACTTTCTGGCTTCGTCTGTTCGTGTTAGCGAGAAAATATGTCAGTTATTGCTTTTATAGTATGTTTATTATTAATATTTTCCTTTAGTTACTCTTATTATAATTAACTCTTATTGTCTTATTATAATCCTATATACCAGGTGGTTCAAACATGTCCGAAATGATTATTTTTCCAAAGCCTTTATTACGAATGAAACAGTTGAACAACGTCATCTTTTAACGTACTCTCCTCCAAAGTCGATACATTTTTGCCAACGTTCGCTCAGCATTTTCATGTCCTTTCCACAGACGTTTGTCAGTTGGCTTGTGAATTCAATCCGGATAACTGACAGTGAGAATAACCTTCTCTAGATACCGCATTCCTTTCTAGTGTAATTTGAGACTAGGACTTAGAATTGAAGAAATGGACAAAGGTTTCATTGGCGTTATGGGCTTCTCGAATGCATCCCCTTTATACCCAAACGACCGTAAAAGAGAACTGGTGGTTTGGATGTGCATCAGGTTTTTCTCATCTGTCAACTAATGTTCGACGATCTGCTCTGGAACTAGTAATTCAAAGAACCAATTCTCTTTCCTGAGCGAATTTCCTCCAATTCTAGAAAACGAATACAATATTGTTGGGCCATTGCTCGAAGCATATTTAACCAGATAAGATGAAGTGCGTCCTTTCAGCGCTTGACGATGTATATTTCGTGAAAAGGCAAAAAGACACGCGTGACCCTTTGTCACGAACTGTGAGAACCTGTAAGAGCAGACAAGCTTTGCTGAAGAGGCAGGCAAGCTTGTTACTCGGTATAATGGTGCTTGAAGACCAGCGGGGTCCTAGACATGAGATCTTATCCTTTATAGAAACAGTTAAACGTTTTGAAATAATTCGTGAAATTCCCGGAAATTCAGGTACACAGACAGGAAAGGAGAAGAGTCCAAAAGAAAAGAAAAGAGTCCAAATTCTCGTTATTTTAAAGAACGTTGCTAATAAAAACTCTTCGAAATGTCATACTAATTGAAAATAAAATCACAAGAGCAAAACAAGCTCAGAGGAAAAGTGTAGTAACGTACGAATAATTGGTGCGCCAATAAAAATAATGCTAAACCAGAAGTACCAAATACAAGAGTATATTTCGAATACAAATATATATGTAAATACAATAGTATATTTCGAATTAAATAATGCAAAACTAGAAGTACGAAATACAAGACTATATTTCGAATTAAATAATGCAAAACTAGAAGTATTAAATACAAAAGTATATTTCGAATACAAGTGCTACACCAAAACGTTTTAGGAAATGTCCTGAAGTCAATTAGCGGAATTAAAAATTTCTTCAAAAATGATAATGTAATAAATAATTTGTCCTCTAAATTATCTGAACCCTATATTTCAGGGATCCGATCAGTTATTTATTCATGCTGTTTTGCATGAATATACCTTTGAGCATTTTAATAATTTACTTAATAACATGAAACACATTGGTGAGCACGTTTCATTTGAATTGGTAACTGTAACAAAGTTATCCTTTGTCTTAGAATCAATATTCGGTCTAAGGTATTTAGGAAAAAAGCACATCCCCGAAAGCTTCCCATATGGCCCGAAAGTTAAACCACAGTTGCAACACCTAATCACTTCTAAAATTTTGGCTGACAATTTTCAGGCAAGCTCGTCTGGTGGAAGGGAAGTCCGTCAGACTTCATGTGACCGTCACAGATAAATAGCGAAGTAGTCAACTTGTAAGGATCTTAAGTTTTACTAACGTTTATTTTATTTTAATCTTTACTATCACTTCTTATTTTCTACTTCCGGCCAGAATTATAAGCGTTAACGTATTTATGCAAAGTTTGTCTGGCGAACGCCAAGTATTTAAGTTGTGGCTTTTTGCCAAGCGAGAGAGAGGAAGCAGTTAGTCGAAGCAGGCCGCTTACCTTAGAAGTTTTACTCAGTTGCTGGTTGCCTTCCAGGCCAGAGGTTTAATCCTCTTGATAACTTTAAACGTATTGTAGTGTTCACAGTTCTCTGTACTACATACGGCTTCCTGTTAATAGGCCAATCTTCCACGTTTATTATTTCAAAGTTAAGAGTTTAGTTTTATTTTTATATTTTTACGTTTAGACCACAAGTAGTGGGTCTTTGTATTCCGAAGTACGGAAGTTATTGTAAATAGAGAAAAATAAAGGGTTTTGTATACCCTTCTTGTGTATCCTGTCTACTTCCCACAGTTATTGAACATAGCTTTAGTAAGCTCTCTGTTCCGAGTCAGGTCCTTGCATGTTCCCAAAGAAAGTAAGACGGAACATTGAACCTGGTAAAGTTTAGAAAACTAAGTTTTAGGGCTTTAAAGGAATCGTGTCAGGGACAGAGATCTACTATTTATTCACAACTTGATTCAATTTGAACGAGCAAATGCCTGATTCGCTGAAAAGGAACAGAAGGTAATCGGCAGCGCGCCAACTCCCTATTTGAGATGGAAAAACGTTTATCCTTCCAAGTTAAAAATGAATTTCATTTTATCATTTCCAAATCTTTTCAAAAATTTCTACCTATGTAGAAATTAGGTTTCAGGAAATTGTAAAACTACAGTTAAAGAAACCAATTCAGAGAGTTAGCGTTTGATGGAGTCGAATTAACTGATCCAGATCCCACTGCTCAGTCTTCTGTAAAGATGCGTGTAATCGATGACCAAATAAATTACCATAGTGCAAATGTTTTTTCACAATACTTTCTACATTTACAGCACTAACTGAAAGCATCGATTCAAGTTCGTTGATAGTGTTGTACCTGTTCTCGAGAATTAGTGTTCTACACACTCTCCTTTTTCTGAATGAAGCACTTACACCACTCATGGTGTAAATGCATGGGTATGCACTTACACCATGCATGGGTATGTATGAAGCACTTACCCACTCTCCCAACATTCTTCGGCATATTATGTTTGGAGTCTGCCAAATTTCAGGCGACTGGGCATTTTTTCGTAGGAGAAATTTCCTCACTCCGAGGCTAAGGACAGGGAAAATTGGATGAAGCACTAGAACTTCGAGTATGGTTTTGCTCCTTCTCACTACTGTTCTAGCACAGCATCCATGAAAATATGCTGCGCCATCTACTGCGCCTCGCCTTGGAATCGAGCTCAGAAAGGAATCCACTAGAAAAGGTGCAGCGTTTTCATCGTTCTCCTACTGGGCGGCCCCTCTATGTTGCCTTTCTTCGTCATGCATTATGTGTTTCATTATATACGAATTTAATTACAGTGGTGGCCAAAATTGTGGACACTTTTGCAAATTTTTATGTTTTTGAACTTTGTATGCTTATAGAAAATGTTACGTTTCGCAAAATGCAAACATGTATATATCATTTTAAAGAGAACTTATTACTGAATTCAATACAAAACACAAAATTCAATTATTTACAATACAAAAAGTGTTGTATGTACTTTAATACAAATAAAAAACACAGTTATGAAGTGGTTTGTAATTTCTAGCTTTCCTGGCCAATCACTGTTCTTGTTCTGAGAACCAATCAAATGTTAGTAACTGCCAGTAGAAGCTGATATCATGTTTACACTTGAAACAATTCATTATTTTGCCTTGTTCTGTAGAAGGAGGACCCGTTTCTTATACACTGCAATTACATGTAGGAATTTTTGTAAAAATTTTTAATATTTAGTCAAGAAGCAATGACATCAAATAAAAGAGTAGATTGTACACCTAGAAAGAGATGTAATATTATTGTGTTACGAAAAAGTGGTTTTTCCTAATTGCAAGACAGGTGGGTGGTTCAGTGACTACATCTGGAGTCCGAAAGTTTTGTTTACGATATCAGGAGACAAATTCAATAAAAAACAAAGAAGGAAAAGGCCTAAAAATGTGCACCACATCTATTGATGACAGAAGAATAAAAGGACTATGTCTCCAAGATAAAAAAAGTGTCATCAGCGGCCATCAGAAGTGATCTGAATGATGCTGGTGTTTCTGTCAGTTGAAGAACAATCAGAAGAAGATTAGCAGATGTTGGACTGAGAGGTAGCATTCCACGAAAAAAGCCTTATCTTAATTTTCAGCAACAAAACACAAAAAAGTCTACAGTTGGCAAAGGAACACATTAATTGGACAGATCAGTGGTCACAAGTTACATGGAGTGATGAAACTAAGATATCGTTATTCGGTAGTGATGGGCAAAAATATATAAGACGTAGAATAGAAGAGCTACATCCTGACTGCATTCAAGCAACTTTGAAGAACCCAGTTAGTGTTATGATTTGGTCATGCATGTCAGCAGATGGTATTGGTCGCCTTCATGTCATCGATGGGACACTGAATGCCAGAAAATACATTGACACTATTCTAGAACCAAAACTTCTACCTTCCATCAGAGATCTCTTTCCCAACAATGCTTCGTTTATTTTACAGCAAGATTCTGCTCCTTGCCACACGGCCAAAATATCAAAAGAGTGGTTTCGTACAAAGAGCATTAAATTGTTGTCATGGCCAGGAAACAGTCCTGACCTCAATCCTATCGAAAATTTGTGGCACCGTTTGAAACTTCTTGTCCGAATGAGGCGTCCATCAAATAAAAGGGAACTAATTGAGGCTATAATTGTTTCCTGGCATCATGTAATATCGAAAGAAGAGCTTAAAACTCTTGTCAGCTCAATGAAACGTCGATGTGAAGCTGTAATCAAAAATAAAGGGTACCCTACCAAGTACTGATAATTCAGTGCAATCATCACTATCTAATGTATTTCGATAACTATTATCGTTTAACTTTTTTTGTATCGCAAATAATTGAATTTTGTGTTTTGTATTGAATTCAGTAATAAATTCTCTTTAAAATGATATATACAAGTTTGCATTTTGTGAAACGTAACGTTTTCTATAATTATACAAATTTCAAAAACATAAAAATTTCCAAAAGCGTCCACAATTTTGGCCACCACTGTATTTTGCCTTGAAATACCAACTGTTATTTTGATAATGTCTTGACGTCTATTTATGTTCTATTGCCCATATATATATTTTTATTCGTTTTATAGAGGATACTCTTGGATGAAAGTTTAAATATTTCTTTTCATTAGTTTTGGCATATTTTTGTTCTGTCATACGCCATGAGCTGCATCGTAATCTGTGAGATTTTTTGCCTTTATTGCTTCACGCTCAAGATATATATCTGGTATCTCCTGGTGTGAGTGGCTGCGTGGTTTTGTAATGATTTCTTCTGTGAACTGATAGTTAAATATATAATCCTCGGCGTCTCCACTTTCCCTACATATGCATGTTACGAGGCAGTTGTTCTTCGCTCTTCACTCTCGCACCTGTAAGCAAATTCTAATTTCAAAAACGTTAAGTTGGGCTTAGTGCCTGCACTCATCCAAGAACACACAGCATTGAGCATAGGTAGTGCCTTGTGACAGCAACAGTCCTTGTCATGTTTGAACTGCCTTGTACTCAGACACCACATACATTTATTTCCATAGTTTCTATTGGCAACAAAACTAATTTGAATAAATGGAACTTACTAGCAAAGTATACATCTCCAGCTCCAAATCGGTCACCATTCTGTATTAGAGTGTCGTCACTGAAAGATAAATTTAAATAGAGAGTTTTAGAATTATACATAAACTTTAACATACCTTTGCAGCAAGTTCCAAAGGTCAGATATTTTTATTAATAAAACTCACATGCAATTTTCCTGCTTCTGATTCTTGGATAATTTAATGTGTATCTAATTATATTGCAATGTGTCTTAAAATTTATCTGTGGCATAAGATGCGTGACGTCACAATCAGATCCGACTATTTAATTTTTAAATGGTTGAAAAAATATACGGTATTTTTACATTACTTAGATTTATACATTTTTAGATCACTCTGCTTTAGTTAAATTCCTTTTCTTAAATAATGTCTTTTTCACCATCAAAGCTAGTCTAATCTTTTCAGAATTCCGTTTATGCCCATAATGATTTATTACACCCCCAACGATACAAAAAACAATTTTCGCAATTTCAAGTGGGAAAGATATTGTTAAAGTACCTGAAATAAATGAAATTTGAACACAAAATAATAAGATTTAGATTATTTAAATTAGCTATCCTGAAATTTTAATTCCAAAGCCGAGATCTAGAACTGATTATAGTTATATCAGTTAGACCAGAGGTAGTCAACCTTTTTATTCTGCGGCTCACTTTTGTAGGAGTAAAAATTTCTATATCGGGCACCCGTTCACTGGAACTTATTATAGCTTAGCCGCAAAGAAGTTTTCAAATTAAGGTTGAGTAAAATATATGCAGTTAAACTTATGCCTAACCATTACGAAAATCAGATAGGATGCTCACTTAAAATATCAGTTAAATTTTAATTTACATTTGATTTAAATTGCTTTGTAAATAATCTGAAGCCTCATAGCTATTTTAGAACAAAACAGATAACAGAGTTGAAAATCTTGATGAAATATAAATATTGCTGATGAGGTTTTAGCTAGACGATGATGTTTCAATTAGATACTGATGTTGTAACTAGACGCGATAGGAAGTCTGATGAGATACTATATCAATGAAACGTAGAATTTATTTGCCATTACAAAAAATATTGTAAGTTTACGGAAGACCTTTTAAAACATGTTTAATCTTATACACTTAGTCAAGTGCGATAACTGCTTTAAGTTCTTTTTTTATCTACTAGAAAGAGTTCTTGTATATGTTGTTCTATGAAGCAAGATTTTATGGATGAATCGAGCGAAGAATAAAAAAAAATAATTTTGAATGCTTTACGGCGATCCAGATGAAAATGAATTTAAATGAAGTTTTATTTTGTTTGGGTAGCTATTTTAAAATTTTTAAACATACTTAACTTATTTAATGAAATTTTAAATACTTTTTAGTCTAATTGAAAAACGTAAGCCTTAAATTCATGATCTTCAACAATTATTCCACATTTGCAAACAGATACAAAATTTGAATTTCATGTTATTTCTTACACACTGTATGAAAAGACATGTTCAGAATGCTCAACTGTCTAAACGGGTTAAACATTAAAACATTGCTGTCCGGATGGGTTAGTGGTTAATGACACTGACTGCCGTACCGAAGGGCGGGAGTTTGAATCCAGAAGAATGCATGGATATTTATTTGTAATGTATAGTTTTGTAAACGTACGATGTCTCTATGGCATGGGGAAATTCTAAATATATGTCCTCTTGTGTAGTCCTCTTGTGTAGTTTGGTGGTTGAAGACATGGGTGAGAGACCCTCAGACCACCTTTCGGGATCATATTCCTCAAAATTGGGTTGGAAAGTAGAAATCCAACATTTCGTTAACCGAATGTTTCCAATGTTGTTGTTGACACGACAACAACAACATTGGAAACATTCGGTTAAACTGCATGCAGAAGATAGATTCGCACCTCTGACTGAGTTATTTGCTGTACCTAACTATGTTCCCACAGTTCCGAATTCCTGGAGAGAATACTCCGGGAAAGAGTCGAGAGTTACTCCCACTTTCTCCCATTCCAGTTCTGAGGAAACACAGCCCGGAGCGCAGTCCGGGGGTCTCTCACCCTTTTTCCCACACCATAACCTCTCGAGGACTCTCGGCTCTTCGTTTACTTTGATTGCCCTCTTGTCGCACAGACATTATATGCATACAAACATCCGTGCCTTCTCTGGGATTCGAACCATCGGCGTCAGCATCACAATTCCATCTGTGCTGTCATCGGTTAAGCAAGCTGCATTGCGCTGCTGCCTTCAAACTAGATATTTGATTTGAATGTTTCGTAACTTAATTCTAATGGATGAAAACAGAACATTTATTTTTTTCCAAAGGAGTACGAGAACTTTGATTATTCGTCAAATGCTATTAAAACATCAGTCTTCGCTCACCTTCTTCCAATGACAATCAGTCCTTTCGTCTTTGGGTTGACCCAACATTCATCATTTTGATACCAGACGCCTGAAAATAAACGGGGATATTATTTTTTTTAATTGGAAGATGCACAGGAATAGAAAACATCTAAACAACACTGCTGCTGCGAATGTGGGCGTGTTGATCATCGCGGATTAATTAAATCTCCGCATTGTATTGTTTGAGCCTTATATTGAATTTTTTTTCAGAATTTTACCTGGATATTTGGTGAGATAAGTTTCTTTTAGTATTCTGTTGTTGTCGTCCTTCCACAAACAAAGGGGAAAGTTGGGTGCAGGAGTTGCTATGACCGCTTCGCCTCGTTCTCCAATAACGAAACAACCTAAAAGAAGCAAACGAACAAATGTTTAAGTTAATTTTGAAACCGCAGATGTTTAGGAAAAACATAATTATCATTTCTTATTTGGAAAATTATAAAAAACAACGAATAAGATAATTTTGAAACCGCAGATGTTTAGCTAATTATCATTTCTTCCTTGGAAAATTATAACAAAAAATAAAGAACAGTATGTAAAGTTCATTTTGAAATTGCATATGTTTAGCATAGTAGAATTATCATTTCTTCTTTTAGAACTTTGGAAGTTATTAAAAAAAGAATAAGTGTGTAAGTTTGTTTTGAAACCGTACATGTTTATCAGAGTGTGATTATCCTTTATTCCTTGGAAATTATAAAAAATAACAAATAAATATGTAATTATGTAATAATCACGTTACAAATATGTAATGATATAGTATAAAAGTATAAAAGTTCACTTTGAATCCGAAAATGTTTAGCTAAGTATGATTATCATATCTTGCGAAATTATAAAAAATAACGCATTTTCAACTGCTAATTATCATTTCTTTCTTGGAAAATTATTTAAAAAAATAACGAAGTTCATTCTGAAACTGCACGTGTTTAGCAGAATATAATTACCATTTCATCTTTCAGAACTTTAAAAATTATTTAAAAAAAAAAACGGAATAAGTGTTTAAGTTTGTTTTTAAACCGCAGATGTTTAAAGTAAGTGTAACTAAAATTCCTTACTTATAATGTCTTACTTGGGGCCAAGTAAGGCATTATAAGATATAAAAAATATTATAAGTTATAAAAAGTAACGAAAAAGTGTGTTATATTTTAAAAGAGCAGATATTTAGCTACTTATTGTTTCTTTCTTGGAAAATTATATAAAATCTATCGAAAAACTGTGTAAGTTCATTTTGTAAACGCGGCTACCTAGCAAAGTATAATTATCATTTCTTACTTAGGAAATGGTAAAAAATAATTATAAAATTATCAAATATCATGTTCTTTGCACTTACGCCACATAAAATTCCCTTAAACAGCAAAATCACAAAATATTTAAAAAACCGCATATCTTTAGAAATTCCCATACACAGTCTTGCCCGCTAAATATAAAAATGGTTTTGTCCGACCAGTGTTACACTGCTCGCTTTGAAATTGTTGAGTTTGTTAATAGCGTTTTTTTCACTACGCGAGAAACATTCATATATTCATGCAGATTATTATTTAATTACTTTAATACCGGGGGATAATATTTGGTGGCAAAAATTTAAAAAGAGATTCTCCGTTTATAGTAAACGAACGCAAAATCCTGTTTTCAGACTAATAACCCGTTTTGGACTAAAAAGATGGACAATCTTAGAATCAATAATTTTGCCTGTGCAAACTTTTTTATTTCTTCCTCGTCTAGTGCTTTCAAGGAGCTTTTAAGAATCGAAATAAAAATCTCCCCTAAGCTTAAAACTTTAACATAGTAACATAAGCTAATCTTGTATAGACAGAAGAAAGAAAGGAAAAGAAATGTTCAGAAAGAGTAAGTAGTACCATCTAGGAAAGAAAAATAGAATCCGAAATTATCTGTTTGTAGACTGTAAAATATGACTAGACCCCAAAACTTAAACAAAACTTAAACTCTGAATAAACAAATGCTTGAAACTACTAAATGATTCGCATGGGAATGAGAACAGAAGAATTAGAAGTAGAAAATAAATTGAACTTTAAACTTATCTAGACATTTTGAGACTTAAAGATAACTTTAGATATAAAGCCATTTGATACCGGGGAATAATATTTGGTGGCAAAAATTTAAAAAAAGATTCGCTGTTTATAGCGAACGAACGCAAAATCCTGTTTTCAAACTAATAACCCATTTTGGAAGTAAAAAGGAAAGTAAGAAAAGTTGAATAATGAATAAGTAGGTTTAAATTAAATTTAAGAAAAGGCGATGTAATTATTTTATAGTTTTATTTTACAGCATAACTCAAACTTTCCCTAACAACAAGCAGCAAAGTTAACATACAATGAATCAAAAACTTAACCGCGCTCAATATTTCGGGTAAAACCGTTGTCAAACATTGATAAGCATAGTTAAATAATATTAAACACTGTTAAAAATTAAAATGCATTCATCAAGTGAATGCAATCTGTGCCATATATTTGTTTTTCCTTTCGCTTTTCTAATATAAGGCGTGGTGAACCTCACAGAAACCTAAATCACCAGCTGAGGAAGTCTGGGGGCTGTTTTGGTTGAAACGAATTCGATTTTTGATTTGTAGCCCGATGGTGCTGGGCAAGAGACAATATAATGAGGTCTTACCATTTTTGTCAACACATCGGACATCCATTCCAAGAGCAGGGGCTTGAATTTCTCCAGCATAAGAAGGTAAGTTTAAATCGAATCCTGATATACATCCGAACGATTCTGTGGATCCTAAGATAAAGCACAAAATTTAAACTGTGTTAAAGGTATTAAAATCCGATAAGCTGGGGCTCTGAAACTAAGCATGAAAATTGGAGATTCAATTTAAAATACAAGCACTTACAGCATCCATGTCACATAAAAATGCTTTAAACAAAATAAAGTGATAAATAAACAAAATAAAGTAATATGATGAATATCAATATTTTGTAAACATGACTCGTAGTCAGTAGCTTCGAACTCCAATTGCATACAGGCAGAATGCAAAATCTGAAAAAAGCTGACTGGCCAGATATTGTTGACCAAAATAAAAATTTGTATTAATAAAATAAAAAAAATTTTAAATTTCGCTTTAAGTGTTTATCAAAGCATAGTAATAATATCGTAAAGAGGAGAAAAAATCAAATTTATTTTTATATTCCGTCTGAGAAGTTTAGTGCCTGCAAGGCATTTTTGCTGTTTATAGTTTTTAATTCAAATATATTGGCAGAAAAATAATAAATTTTCAGCTTGGTATTTATTTCAAATAATTCTATAGTGTTCGTACATAAAAGTGTTCCCCCCCTTCCGTACAGTGTTGTCAATGCTCGCTTTGAAAATGTTAATATTAATAAAAAATTCGTCGATTTTTTTTTTTTTTAAATACGAAATAGGTAACAAAACAAATTCCAAATTTGGTCTTCCAGGTGCCCATATTCAAGTGGAGAACTATGTTATTCAAAATTCGATGTCTCTAGGTACCGTTAATTTTCAGTGCGAGAAACGTACATACATTCATTCAGATTCTTCACTATTTAATTCCTTTAATTATAATACAGGGCTCTAATAATTGGTGGCAATTATTTGAAAAGTGAAACGCCGTTTTTAGTGAACCAACGAAAAACGCCAAAACGAAATTAATAGCCCTTCTGTTTATAAAAGCACACAGGAAAAATAATATTAATAACAGCGATAATAATAATAATAATAATAATAATAATAAAGAGCAAAAAAATTTCAAATTTATATTTATTTCCTATCTGAAATCTTAAAAAAATTTTGTACCTGCAAGACATTTTTATTGTTTACAGTCTGTAATTCAAATATACTGACCGCTAAATATTACGTTTTCAGAATGATATTTATTTCAAATAATTCTATACAATGTTTAATGAATCATTAAATAACTTAGTTTAATTTAAAGAAAATTGTGAAATGTTTCCAAAGGAGACAAAACCAGTGTCTTTCGTTCTCAGTTTTCTAGTGTATTTATATTTATTTTTAATAGTATTGAAAATAATCTAGACTTGCAAGATATTTGCAAGAACATATTTGTAAATAATACATAACTAAAATGCATTTGTTGCTCTCAAAATATTCAAAATTGCAATGTAATTTAGCTTACTTAATTTATTTCTTTCACAGAAACTTAACTAAGAAAATGCAGAAGTTTGTTTTCACTAATTTTTGTTCTTTCGTAAATTCCTTAATAATGTGTTTAAGGAAAGTTAATAAGAACAGTCAATCAACGAAGAAAATGGTTAGAATCAGTATGGAGGAGAAAAAAAAAACAACAGACCATTGAAAAGTTTGAAAATGGCAGGCGTTTGTGGGATACGGCTATTACACAGTATGCTGAGTACGATGGTGTCTACGGCTGTGAAAAACTAAGACGCTATCCAATTGGGTAACGCTGCGGACAATTGTATACGGACAATTACTGCGAACAATTGCTTTCGGACAGTTGTATTCTTGAAACTCATTTGCATAGGTCAATTACCGAAATCGATTACCGAACAAAAAGCGTTGGTATTAGAACATTTTAAAAAATTGCTTTTGATGCAAAAACACATTTCTGTATAATATCTATCATGTGCAGGGCGTCCTTCACGTGCAGTATATATTTCAACCATTGCATTTGCAGTTTAGTGTGAAACAGTGTTATAATAGTAATAGTAATAGATTTTTTATAAGAGCGTATTAATTATTTTCCTTTTATTTTTTACAGGAAAATTGTGTTCGGTGTGTGTCCAGTTTGATGCAGGTACAAGGATCTGGAACGGAAAAACGATCTATACAGAAGTACTATTGATTTCGATACGAGGTAGTGAATTTTTCTTGTGAACCTATGAAGTTTTTTTATTTTAAATCAAATTTTCTATTGAACCTACCATATTGACTGCCGACAAATACATCTCTTTTAACCTTATTATGGATGAAATGAAAATTTTGCATTTTGGCAGGACTTTCCTCCAATAAGTTGAACCTGGTAGTGCTCTAAATTTAACTCTGGACCTGAAAAGCATAAGCAATTTGTTATATTTACGTGCAGAAGTAACAGTTAAATTCACTTCAAATATCTAACAACAATATATATTTATAAATAACATGCATTTAATAATCAACTGGTTGCTCTGCAGTACTCATTAGTTGTTGTTATAGTTCGACCGTCTCATCCGCGACCATTGAGCGCAAACACGCATGCGCCATTCGGACCGAGTTAATTTGAAAATAGAGTGGAAGGAGGGGGACTTTCTTTCCTTTGAGCATATAAATTCTCTCTTTCCGGAGGTGTTCACGTGGCCTTTCACGTCGCAGCAAGTAATAACGCCCCTTTTGGACAAGTCTAAGTGTTTTGGCAGAATGCCAGCCAAGGTTGCGTTTCAAACGGTCGAACTATACCAGTCTCACTTGCCTGACAGTGCTGGGCAAGAAGTCAAATGCACCTGGCAAGAGCCTTGAGTACTATATAGGTAACAGCCAGACATTAGTTCAGTTTCATTCACTAATTTTGAAAAAATGCTCACTGAGAGACCCTGAAGCTGAACCCTGAAACACTTAACCCTGAAGCTGAGCACTGGTAGTGCGGTCCAGAGGTTCGAATGCCGGCGGACGGGCTGGCTACATGGTCTTTGTCGTGGTTTTTCCCAGTGTGTAATGTCTATACAAGCTCAAATTACCTTAGAAATTTCCCCACAAAGACCTCCCTTCTCTTAGGCAGACCGCCCTCGAAGTATCGTTTAATCATCTCACTTTGAGAGTTAACAGAAAAAAATCCTCCTAACTACTCGATTATTTAAAATTATACGGATCCTCAAATATGATATCACATATTTTAGGAAATGAATACCATTATGTTAATTTAAAATTTAATGTAATTGCCAAACATTTTGCTTGATAAAATCAATTTTTTTAATGAAGGTCCTAAAATCATTTAACAAAATATTATCACTGCTTATTTAACATGTGAAATTTCAGGTTTGTTTCCAAGTCCAAGACCAAAGTACTGCGTTCAATAAGATGTGATTTATGCCAAAGTATTACCATTTTCCCTCGCTTACTACTCCAGCTCCCTAGAATTTTAGTTCCAGGATCTGAAAATTTTAAAAATATTTGCGTTATTCTCCCTTTTCTCAAGGCGTTCAGACAGCAAACTTCCTTGATTTTAAAATGAAATTGTCCACGTAGTGATTGTTTTCGTCTTACTGACATAGACTATGGGACGCAAACTGCTTGCGAATGTCACTCCGAACCTTTCCCTTTTAACTCTCTGCCAGTCTTTAACCTTCTAACTTTATCCCTTCTAAGTCTATGACAGTTGCACTTTATGCCAACCTAATACAAGAACCGACCCAAATACGAAGTGAGATTCAGTCTACGATTTCGTCGAGTCAGCTGCAGATTCACCATCTGTATTTTTTATGGATGGTTTTAGGCCTAAAGACTAGCGAAGATAACAACAAGCATGGGCGAGACTTAAGTTATAGGGTAGTAGAAATAAAGATGTCTCATTAGATATTGTAATGTTAATGTTTCTATGTATTTTTATTGTAATGTAGGTTTC